GGACTTTGTGGCAAGACTTTTGTCCCAGCAGTTGGTTCTAAAGGCCACCAGCAAGCAAGACCATCGTTATCGCTGGAGGATTCAATAACGAAGGGATTGAGTCTTCTAGTCCTGATGTCAACACTGGGGTAGGGACTGGAGGGGTGCCATGAGGAAGCTGACACGAGTATAATACTACCCTGTGTCAAGAGCCAAGCATCCAACTTTGTTGTTACTGCTCGTGGCACTGATACGTTGGTGCTCCTGTTGCCTCACGTTGCAAAAATGGCATGTCCAAGGGTGTAGATGAAGGTTAGCACATCCAAAAAACAGAAATACATTCCGATTCAGTCTGTGACAGCTCGGTTTGACAATCATATTCTCAGCAGCTTGCCAGCCTCTCACTCGTTAACAGGTTCTGACACTACATTCTTGGCTGATCACAGAAATCCCTGTAGCATCTTTAAGGAGCAGCACACCTCCTCTCCACTCTCGGCAAAAGTGAACTCAGAGAAAAGACCTGTGCTGATCTAGAAGTGTTCATTTGCAAAGCCTGCAAAGTTCACACAAATGTCTCTGTGGGCAGTGCCATATCAACTCTTTACACTGCGGGTTCATCTACTGGCGACCTTACCCCCAACTCACGATAGTCTGTCCCTCCACAACAAGCGTGCACACTACCAAGGATTAATAGAACTGATCACATGAAAGTGTACCAAACAGTGCAGAAGCAACTGTAACTACAACAGGGGAAACTGTCATGTACATCAGCATACAAATGCAGCATAAGCGGAGAGGTCTACACAAAGGATAACTGATGAAATGTGAAGCACCAAAGTACTGCTGTGCTCACGGTCTCACTCCACTGTGTGCTGTACACTTCAAATGCTATACCACAAGTGTGTTTATGATCAATAAGCCGAGAAGCGTGGGACATATTCTAAAAGCAAGCTCAGCAACTGAATGTGTTTATTTTTGTAATTCTATATTACTGGTACTTGAAATAATGTATAGCACACTAAGCCACTAAGTTTTTGATAATTACTGATTTTTTTCTGGAATTTAATAATAGTTTTACTATATAAAGCTTGTGGTGTGGGAATCAGGTTGCTGGCACACCATTTTGACCAAGTTTTATCTCACAACGCAAAACTGGTCATGCCAAACGGTAAAATTGAAAACCTCAAACCAAAATTCTTGAGAAAAGATATTTGACATGATTGGCAGATTTGCTAAGTACTTTGTAACTAAGTTGATATCGAGTAAATGGATCCAGTCTTAATAATAAGTACTGTTATTTTGTTTATTATTGTTTTTGGTGTCATTAGCATTTTAGAAATTATCATTACTGTTGTTTTCATCATTATCGTTATCATCATATATATCACAATTATGATGATTATCATTTTTGTTATCATTTACATTATCCTTTTAATTATAAATATATGTACTATCTTCGAGAATACTATCGCAATGGTAGTCTTATGCAGGTAAAGCGATCTAGCTATGATCACATACTTGCATAAATATTATTAAGAAAAAATGTCTAGTGACATATCTTATCTGTACTATTTCCCGATTCCGGTTTTAATCATAATTTCCTGAGATTTACAGTTACTAATTTTATTAGTATTTTTAATAAATATTGTGGAATTGATAAATATATAAATAAATTACATACATATTGTTGAATTGATAAATATATAAATAAACTACATCACTAACAGTGTTATATTACATGGTGTTGGCGGAAGATTTATTTTCTAATTAGAGGAAAAAGCGATGTTAAAAATGCCACTCACTTTCTAACGCTTTCCTAATGTAACTGTTGGTTATATCTCTCTCGCAGGGCGCAACTCTTCGCCTCCTGACGCAGAACTCAAAGCACCTCCTCTCCTCTCTCTCTCCTCTCCTCTCTCTCTCCTCTCTCTCTCCTCTCTCCTCTCTCCTCTCTCCTCTCTCTCCTCTCTTCTCTCTCCTCTCTCTCTCTCTCCTCTCTCTCTCTCTCTCTCTCTCTCTCTCTCTCTCTCTCTCTCTCTCTCTCTCTCTCTCTCTCTCTCTCTCTCTCCCTTTCTTCCTTTTTCCTTTTTTTTTTTTTTTTTTTTTTTTGAAAGGAGGAAGTTGACGTGCATCTCTCTGCCTGTTTCTTGTTCTTCTCCATCCTTCCGATTGCCTTGTTTGTAAGATATCCTGTTATGACATTTGTAAGATAGTGTCATTCCTTTGCTTGCTTCATTATGTTCCCTCCTCATATTCGCCATCGTACTAATTATGACATTTCCGCTCGCCTGCACCATGAATCCCTCTCAATCTAATTTAAACATCGACATTCTACGCCGAAAAATCCGCTATTTCGTCTTCTCTGCCGTTCTCCGTCTCGAGAACTGCCTTTTAGTTCCTCTTGTTCTTCCTTCTGTACCGAAGTTTCCTCCCGAGATACTTCATGGCCGTCCAGACGTCTTCTCCCTGAGGAAAAGGAAAAGAAAGAGGTTTACAGATTTTGCGTAACAGGTCCGCCAGCTACTCAGTATGAACGGGGAATACCTGATTATTCATTTATCTATTCATGCATTCATCTGTTCATTTATTCATACATCTGTTCATCTATTCATATATCTGGATATATATTAATCCATTTATCATTTTATCCTATTTATCAATCTGTTTATCCAATGCGTTTGTCAGTTTTTCCAAGATGGTTTCCCCCTGAGTTCTAGACAGTCCCTAAATATGTCAAGCTAAATATAAGCGTCTCCTTGCCGTTGGGACGATGAGGTGCTCCGGGAGGTGGAAGACGGTCTCGCCCCTGTCTCGGAGCTCCATGGTGTACACGTAAGGGACGCCCTGACTCGCCACCCAGTCGTCAGACGCCCCTCCGACGAGAACTGCAAAGGACCCATTGGAAACCTGAATCCTGATAGACTGTTTGAATTAAGAACTATTTACCCTGTTCTGTCTGTACGCACGAAGAGATTATTTTTTTATATATTTGTGTATGGATATGTATATGTGCAGTGTCTTTGTTTATATATCAAGCTATCGTTATCTACTTATACAGATACACACACACGTATGTAACTATATGAATTTGTCTGTGTGTGTGTGTGTGTGTGTGTGTGTGTGTGTGTGTGTGTGTGTGTGTGTGTGTGTGTGTGTGTGTGTGTGTGTGTGTGTGTCCAACTCACGTGAAACTCCGCTGCTGCTGATGTTGTAGCGCGTCCCGCCAGCGGCTTCGACTTTCCTCACCATTCCGTCCGCTAAATTCACCTGGAAATCAAACTCCTAGATTATCAAGAAATTCGAATTTGTGACTGATTATCAAATGGCAATTATATATGACATATCGAAATGCAATAGTAGAAATTGAGAGAGAGAGAGAGAGAGAGAGAGAGAGAAAGAGAGAGAGAAGCTAAAACATCAATGTACTGACTTATGGTACCATTAAAAAAACGAAGACAGGAGGGTAAAGGAACTGGGTATTTAACCGCAAATTGTTTCTTGATAATACCTATTTGATTGTGACAGATATAATGGGGATAAGATGAAGAAAAGCAAAGGTAAAATCACTATCTCAAGATGATCACTCACCAGGTCTTTGGATTTGGAGTTGTTGCCGGCTCTGGAGTAGCTCCAAGGATACAGGAATGTTTGCCCAAAGGAGTGAAGCGATATATACGCCTACAGTGAAAAGAGGAAGACAAGGACGTGTAAATATCTATACATTAAGAGGAAGATAAGGACGCGTAAATTTCCATACATGATGAATACCATTTTGGGTTCACGGATGGTTCACGTACCTTGGTTCTTCTCTTGACCGCAGAAACGGCTTTCCTCAGCGCCCTGGACTCGGGTTCGCTGAACGGGTTCGACCCCTGGTAGAGGTCGGAGCAAGGGTCCCTTCCGGCCTGGACTCCTGGAAGCGGAAAATGACTCTTTAAGTAATGAGCAATTGGAACCTCTATACACTGTGCAATCTGCAATGAATGCTTCACAATGCACAGTGCATTTTAATAAACACAGGCTAACCCTTTAAGTAATGAGCAATTGGAATCTCTATACACTGTGCAATCTGCAATGAATGCTTCACAATGCACAGTGAATTCTAATAAACATAAGCCAACCAGATCTCTCCCAAAATAACATACACGATAATTCTGGTTTCGAATATCGGTTCGATACATCATTCGAGCGTCGGCTTCCACTGCCATATAACATATTATTGCCCCGGCAGGTAGCGGTTCCCTCACCTCCCCAGTAGAAGTCGAAGTTGCGGTTCAAGTCGACGCCGAAGCACTCGGGGACGGAGGAGGGGGCGCGGTTCTTCCTCCACAGCCGGTCCTGCGAAGATATCGTCGTGTGAATCTTGAGTAGTCGGTGAAGAACCGAAATGAATGAAAGGAATGTGTATATATGTATATAAATTTGTGTGTGTGTGTGTGTGTGTTTGCATTTATATATATGTATATATATATTCATATATATATGTTTGTATAAATATATATATAATGTATATATTTATTATGAATTATATATATATATATATATATATATATATATATATATATATATTATATATATGTATGTATGTATGTATGTATATGTATTTATATGTGTTTGTCTATGTGTGTATGTGTGACACATACACACGAAGCGTTTGCATGTATGCGTTGGTGCTTCAGCCCGAGTGCGTACATGGTGCCAGGAGTAGACGTAGCCGTCGGGGTTGAGCAGCGGGACGAGGCGCCACTCGGCGTTGCGCAGGAGGGACGGACTCTCCAGCAGGCGCTCCACCAGGTACAGCGCCGAGGCCGGGGACACCCACTCCCTCGCGTGCGCCCCTGCGGAGAGAGCGCTTGCTTGAGGGCGCTGAAGGCAAAGCGGTAGTCTGAATGGCATCAGTTTATGCGTGCCTGTTGTTCCTCGCTTGCAACGATGATGGAATACCGTTATATTCTCCATTGCCTGATATGCCATGTCGCGAATGTAAATAGCACGTACCTGCTTCTATGAATATGACAGGTTTGTCGACTTTGCGGGTTTTGGTTTTCTTGTTGATTGTAATGAGGTATATGGGTCTGCCTTCGACGCTCCGCCCAATCTCGTCGACTTGGACCTTATTTCGGTGTTTGGAAGGTAGAGCCTCTATGTAGGACTCGATCTGCGAACAAGAGAAAGCATTGCCTTTTTTGGTACTTCTCTCTTCCCTCTCTCTTCCCTACACACGCATTCTCTGTATATCAGTCTGTCTGTCTACCTGTATATTTGTCTGTCTACCTGTATATTTGTCTGTCTACCTGTATATTTGTCTGTCTACCTGTATATTTGTCTGTCTGCCTATCTATCTGTCAATCTGTTTATTTATCCTATTTATCTATCTGTCTGTCCGTCTATCTCTATCTGTTTGTCTATCTATCTGTCTATCTCTGTCTATTTATCTGTCGTCTACCCATCCGTCTTACCTCTTGATAGTACATGTAGCGGTCAAAGGTAAGGTCACCTCTCGGAAGACTCCTTGTCACGTCGTACGTAAGAGGCCTTATGAATAATCTGTTGAAATCAAAATCATGATTAGGACCTACACAGAGTAAGCAATATATCTCTGTATACGTATTACCTGCTTGGCGTGTACCTACACAAATGGGCACTGTAAATCGCCACAGATTTTATAGATCAGGTAAGGATTCGTTTCACTAAATATTAATCCTTATTCATTGCTCTTTGATTGGTTATGCGCTTGAAAGATCCTTTTCTTTTCAAGTCACTGCGCTTTTCGAGTCACTCCCCTAAGCACTTCGGAACAGCTGTCGTGAATTCCTCCTGACCACGGCATGCAAAAAACATTCTTCCGGCGGTAAACATTGCCCTGGCCAGCGTTTGTCTCACCTCTGCATTCCTCCTTGGCTGTTCACTGACACTTCTGTGGTGAAGTACTTTGCATGTCAGCCTGCCTCGCGCTGTCTCCTGAATGTCATTTTACATTTCAGTCTTACCTGATTTTTCTCTAATGAAATGAATTACGACACACTTAAATCACTGGACTTTCATCTCAATCGAACGAAAACCTGCCAGCGGATGTTATTCTTACTTACTGGGAGAGGTCGTTGATCTTGGTTTGGAAGGCCACGCCGGCTTCCGTCAGTCTTTGCATGAACTGCGTCAGCCTCTCTTGGGCCACAGCTAACAACGTTGTACCTGTTCATAAAGGAATCCACTGATAGCTATGCAGGCAATGTAGGTTATATGCTTCAATTCAAAACTCATAAGAAATGATCATGTATTATTCTCTCTGTCTCCAAAACATCCATAGCCTTACCGGCCCCTGTGTTGAAGCTGAGGAGGTCCATGTGACTGGGAAATCCAAGGGCCTCCAGATTCAGAAACGGAGGCAGTGCCTTCACTTCTAACACGTTCCATCTGGAACATTTACACCATATTACTCTAACCTCAGTTCCCAATCCTTTCCGGTGCTTAGACAAGACACAGTAATGTAACTATCTTTGTAAAAAGAATTTCAAAAGAATTAATATAGATATTGTAGCTACTTCTGTGATTTACTCTCGGTTCCAAAATCACTTCACCAAGCATTCCAATATTTGATAATTTTATCTTCAGCCAGAAAAAATATTGTAACTCATCGTACTAGCTAATGGTCCGAGCATATGCTACATGTACGTGTGTACTGTACGTGTTCTGTTTGCTTTTCATTCTTCTGAGCAACACACCTCCCGCGTTGACTCACCCGGAATAAGTAGGGTCTGCTCTGTGGTTGTGGCTCTGGCCCAGAACGGCTGCGGCCACGACAAGGAGCGTCAGACCTCCTCGCAATATCATCTTCACTCTGAAAAAAGGGAAAAAAACATCGATTTGAGACATGGGAATTATGAATGAGCGACACATACACACACACCCACATGTTGGAATTCTTCAAGTTAAATGAATTTTATTTTAGTGACCATATGTAGTCTAAAAAGTTATTTGTGTTTATATGCGTTGAGATGAGATCAAGGCAAGAAGTCGACAGCTCCAGCAGTTGCCGTTGATTCCCCAACATTCTGAAAATGCTGGTTTCTTTTCAGTTATATTAATAACGTAATTTCATCGTCGACGATAAGCTTTACGTCACATCTTATATTCCGGTGAAGTACAATGTCTTTAGAGTCCTCAAATTCAGTGTGAAGTGCGAGAAATTTCTCTCGGCCTCATAACTGGCGCAACCGCACATGGAGATTAATGCTAATCTGTTATTGATCGATTTATAGAAGTCTCTGTAATATTACTTGTAGCCGTTTTATCCACATCTAAGAGAATTGTTTATAAGTGACATGCAAGCATTTTTTCAGAGGTTCAGAATATCAGTGATTAATACACTGCCACGTTAATCATGACAAATTTTCATTCATATCCCATTAACTTAGAACAGAATATCCCGTGTTGGTAGTAAAATCCATGGATGTGTATGCGGTGTGTGTGTGTGTGGGTGGATTTATATATATATATATATATATATATATATATATATATATATATATATATATATATATATATATATATATATATATATATATAACAACCATACATAAAAACACATACACACAACACACATTACATACAAGCACATAAACACATACAAGCACATAAACACACATACAAGCACATAAACACACATACAAGCACATAAACACACAGTGACGTGAGTATGAGCGTGGAGATGAAGCTATAAAATAGTTGAACACAAAACTCACAGTTATGTTGCTGAGTGTCAGACGTGTGTACACGCAATCCCAGGGGATGCACTGCCACCAGCAACCACACCGGTTAGCCTCGGGACCTCGCTCGCGCTTTCCGAAATGACCATTATTGTCGTCGTTTCTCGCCTCGACCCTCCCCCCCTCATCCCCCTCCCCCCATCAGGGCCCTTCCCCAAAACCTCCTCCCCCCCCTCAGGCGCCCCCACCCCACCCTACTTAGAATCCCTCTATCATCTCTCCCCGAAAGCTTATTATCTTTATCCAACTTTCCCTCACCTTTCTGAGTCACTTTTCTTTTCAATTCTTCCATCGATTCAGTCCCGTCGATACATCTGGGCAAACATACATATTTTCGAGTAGAATGAGCAACAAGGAAATCATCTAATGGCGTCTAATGACATAGAGATCACCCAGAAAAAATAATATCAAGACGAGAAAGTAAGAGCAAGGCCAGGGAATCCGCAGGAATTTCGCGTCCGAGGCAGTTCCTTCTCACATGGAGAGGCTGTTTCGCAAGACGACGCTGCGCCCGAAACACACAAGCCTTAACGGTTTCTTCCGGACCTTATCTAGGAGGCATTCGACGAGGGGGTCACCAGTGTCTCTCCCTTGCTCTCTTTTTTTCTTCTTTCCAGGACACCCGTCGTCTCT